TCAGACGACCTCATTCGAAACCAGGTTTGGAAAGCTAAGCCGTGCTATTCGGTATCTCTATACCGAAACCTTTTTAAAATGTAGGTAGGGCAACCATCGCGATCTTTTCCCCATCACAATGTCCCCTGTTTAAGCCTAATGAAGTTGCTTTTACTTCTGCTTCAACCACCAGGTGAAGTTTCAGAAGTGACAGAAAAGCCTATCCAAGGTCTTCTTCAAGACTGCGTGTATAGTGAAAAAGGGCGTGATCACAGCTGTGTAAAGCCGCAAGATGGCTTTAGGATTAAGACTCCAAAAAGCCTCCTCCAGATCTACAAAGATGCCGTGGATTCTTGTAATTGCTCACGATATGGTGTGTTCAGGTTAACTTGACATCCAGGTAAGCTCCAAAAATGTTTCTATCCGTATTTAATTAATGGTTTCTTGACCAACTATTTTCCGTTTTCTAGGTCGACTTGGATGGATTCATCCGTGTCCCTGTCGCATATACCAGATCTCTATTGTCTTAAGGGGCCTCTAAGTGAGTTCACAAATAATACCTAGCGATTTCCCTGAATTGAGTAGACATGCGCTAATATTTTCCTCTCACTGAGACCTAAGAGGAGTTTATCAAGAGGATAAAGTACTCTCCCACCTAAATTACCCGACCGGAATATGCTGAACGATGTCATTTGAGGTTATTTTAAAAGTTTGGTGTCAGTTAAGCTTTTTCATTTATTTGAACGCTCTGTATACACAACTGCAACTAGTTTCCTTTCAATTTGCCGCCAAATTAGACATATCGAAATACTTAGATTCAAACAAATATGAAGAAACAATTTCGAAGAAGAAATTTATCTCGCAGACTTATTCTAAACATATTTTTTTATAATAGGCATTACAGGTTAATATAAACGGTTTTTAATAAGTGTATCGTCGAAAGCAAAGAGGAAAAATTCATAAATATTTAGCTAATGTTTGAGTGTTGAAATGTTTGTTCTTAATATAGGTAAAGCTTATTAATAACGTGGTTATAGGTTTCGGTATATTAAAATTACATGAAACGGTGTATTTTCCAGAAAAAGATTAAAGTGCTGTTTTTTAGTGAGTGAAACACTGTCTACGACCCGCGCTAATGATTACTAGAAAGATTCAGTTTTCCAAAATATTTGTTTTCTAGAATTAAATAATTACTAATACGCAGAAAAATATTTGAAGGATATTATGTTAGTATGAAAACCTAAAGTATTTAATGTTAAGCATACCTATATTACTTTGGAAATACATTTATTCCCTAATATTAAATGTTAGTGTGTGTGTGTGTTAAACTTTATATAGTGTGTAAGGTATGTGCGTATCTTTAGCTAGTAAGTTGTAGACAGTTTTTACCGAATTATAAAAAGTCATGTATTGTAGATATTAGATTTGCTGTAGCGATGGAAATAAAACACTTAAACAGACACTAAAACACACTCCGAACAGTCAACTGAGTACACAGTCTGTTTGATTATAAAGGCCCCTCGGTTACCTATTTTTGGAGACCCTGTAAAGTATATATACTAGGGTGGCCCAAAAAAAAAACAATTTTTTTTGTGGCTCTTGTGAAAATATGTTAGTTTATCATGTTTTAAGAGCCACTCAAAAAATCAGCTCAAAAAAATTTTTTATAGGTCGTTCAAGATTTTTAAAAATTTCCAAAATCGTAAAAAATTGAATTTTTTTTATTTATTTTCTCGTTATTTTATCATTTTCTAGGTTGAAAAAAATCTCGAATCTGAAAATTTCAAATTGATATTTTAATTTCTAAAGGTCACTCATAATAATTATTTTAATTTTCAAAGTAGTGTACCTGTTTTCGAGCGACCTCTGAAAAATAAATATCAACGAATAATAATTTTTTTTTTAATTTGATGAACAAAAGAATGGAAATAAATCACGAGACACTTAAATTTTAAAAAATTAAAAAATTATAAATATTTGATACACCGCGATAGTAAATTTAGCCTAGAGAATTTTTTTAAGTGTCTCATGATTTATTTCTATTCTTTTGTTCATCAAATTCAATAAAAAAAATATTAGTTCGTTGATATTTATTTTTTGAGGTGGTTGGAAAACATTTTAGGTACACTACTTTTAAAGTTAAAATAATTATGAGTGACCATTAGAAATTAAAACATCAATTTGAAATTTTCAGAATAGAGATTTTTTTCAACCTAGAAAATTATAAAATAACGAGAAAAAAAAATTAAAAAAATCAAATTTTGACGATTTTGGACATTTGAAATTTTTTTGGGCCACCCTAACAAATATTTTTAAAGGGGATGTTATTTTCTTTATATTGACTCACAAATTTGTTTTTTCATCACACTTGATAAGCGGTGACGTCATCGATATTTTTTAAATGTAATTGTATAAACTTTCTTGCATGATTTGATAGTTTTTTTATTTTCTTAAAAAGAAATATATTTTAAATATATACCTATACTTTATAATCAAACAGACTGTATAGAGAAGAACAGCATCAGCCATCACTGTGCATGAGGTGCTAATATGTTAATATAATAGATAGTTTATCATCCAAATAACGTTTGGACTGAAGTAAGTTCAGTTAAATCTGCTTATTTTGATTGCAGGGAACCGTGGTAGCTCCATGTTTCCGGAATCCTTATCAAAAAAAGGATTAATTGAGTTGAATGATTATTTGCTTAAGAAAAATTGGAACTTTATATTTGATAAAAATATCAATGTAGATAATGCATTCAAGGTTTTTGTTGACATTGTTTCTGAAGCGATCGATATCTATCTTCCAATAAGAACTAAGTTGGTTAACAACAACCATCATTCACCAAAAATTAATTGGTTTACCGATGAACTTCGAGTGATGAGAAACCAACTACACTTTCTTCAAGAAAATGTCAAGTTGCATCCATCGGAAAATAGTAAGGCACTCGTCAGATATTATAAATCACGTTATGTGAACGAATTACGTAATAAAAAAAAGCTGGCTCATGATAACTATGTATCTACCCACAACAATCCAACTCAGGCTATGTGGAAAATTGTAAATGGTAGTAAAACAAAAGTCAAAGAACCGACAAATAAAATTTTATCTGATGATTTTAACACATATTTTGTAAATGTAGCCGCAAATATTATTGACGAACTTCCAGCCAGTAACTCTGTATATACGGATTATATGAACTCTTATACGAATAGCGTGTTCAACTTCTCTACGGTCTCCACAGAAATTGTAAAGCATGCAATTAATAACTTAAAAAATAAAAAATCAAAGGATGTTTATGACATATGTATTGAAATAATTAAATCAATACAACCTGCAATTTTAAAACCTCTATTAGCCTTAATTAATATCAGTATCTCTCAAAATGTATTTCCTAATTGCTTAAAAATTTCTAAGGTAGTCCCAATATACAAAAAAGGGAACTATAATGATCCATCTAACTACAGACCCATTTCTGTCATCCCCTATTTTGCAAAGATCTTTGAAAGTATCTTAAAGAATCAGATAGTCAATTATTTTGAGAGAGAAAATCTTTTTAATAATAATCAATTTGGTTTCAGAAACAGTCTTTCAACAACTCTAGCCATTGAGAAACTGACTAGTGTTATATATTCTGGCTTTGAGCAAAGACAATTTATGTGTTAACAATTTTTAGACCTTACCAAAGCTTTTGACTGTGTGTCCTATGAAACTCTTACAAATAAATTGCATTACTATGGCTTTACAATTCAGAGTACCGATTTAATAACATCATATCTTACCAATAGGCAACAATATGTAACCCAAAACAATGACAGGTCTACTTATCTCATTCTTAGTGCAGGAGTACCACAGGGGTCTGTGCTTGGGCCTGTGCTATTCCTGATTTACGTGAATGATTTGTCACGTTCCATTGATAATTCTTTATTAACTATTCAGTTTGCAGATGACACTAATATCACGGGTCAAGGGCTTGAACTGACCGAGCTCCTAGATCGAACCAAACAAGCCGAGTTAATGATGCAGGATTGGATTATTTCGAATCATCTAAGCCTAAATAGAGCTAAGACAGAAACCATGATATTTAGTTTGCGGGATATTGATCTCTTGGAAAATCCGAAATCTGTCAAATTTCTGGGAGTATATCTAGACCCTAAGCTATTATGGAATCACCATACAACGCATGTTTGCAACAAATTATCAAAAAACCTGTATTTGCTACGTAATTTGACTCATCAAGTATCAGTACCAACTTTGGTTACAGCATACCATGGCCTCATTCGTTCTGTTTTATCTTATGCCAAACTAATATGGGGTTATTGTTTTAGTTATTTGTTGCTTTATTTATCTTATTATGTTGCATCTATGTATTCTAGTTGTCAGTCTTTACTGTATTTTTACGTTTGACTATTTATGTTAATGTTTGTATTGTATCTAATTTGTATGTGTGTTTTACATTTTACATTTTGATTTTGTATTTTTAGACGTTAGATTTTAATCTTACTCTTACTATAGGACTCTAAGTTTCCCCTTTCTTTGTTTTTTGACTTGTGTAAATACTTTTGTATACCTAGCACCAATAAACTAAACTAAACTAAACTAAACTAAACTAAACTGAATATTGGTACACTCTGTGTAATAATGGTTAATATTCTTATCGTAGGTTTGTGCAGCTGAAAAATATATCGAATTGGAAATTGCCCTTTTCTAACAACACCCTCTTCCTAAAAATTAAGTTTCGTTCCAAATATTGAACTAATTTTAATTCGACTGAATCGAAAGTGTGTCGAAAAAACTGTTCCCGCGAATCCCAATTTTCCAGCAATTAATCTCGCCGAATAAAATTGAGATACCGCCGCACCTAGCACTAGCTATTTTCGTCGGCGGGTAATTCCCAGCGACCGCGGCGTCCTTTTGTTAAATTCCAATTTGCCGCAACTTTTGTCTATCAAAAGAAAATCGACGGGAGCACTCGCCGGAGAGAGCCTCCCGAAAAACAACAATAGCATAATTTATATACCTGTAAACGATTCCTTTGTTGTGCAGGAATTTCAAGCCAGAGACGATCTCAGCCCCGTAGAACCTCGCCTGGTGCTCCGGAAACCGTCCAGACGCCTGGATGTGGAACATTAGATCGCCTCCGTTCAGGTACTCCATCACGAAGAACAGATGCGACTGCAAGAAAGAGAAAAAATAGAGCTCAGCCTTTTTTTATTCAAATTGGATCGTTCTTTACTCTCACTGTACTTTTTTACTGAACGTATAGCTATAAAGCGGTCTTTGATAAATATTTTTCTATTATCGTATGTAAAACTCTAACTTTACGTATGATGTACAGGGTGCTTGGTATTTTTGTATACTTAAATTGACGCATAGCTTATATCGAAATAAATGATATAGAACCCTGAGATTAGAAACCGATAGTAACAAAATGTAGGAGCGGAAAAATTTGAAATTTGAATCATTTACAAGCTGTTACGAATTCGCTTCTCAGTATAGGGATCTCGAAAACGATAAGAGATATAAACTAGCTTAAATGGGGGCAAAGTTGCGTAATCAGGGGACCAACATGATGCCTCTAAAAAATCAAGACTAACATGATTAGTTTTCGAAATATTTGAAAAAAAAAACGAAATTTTGGTAATCCGTTTCTGTTTCATTTCACTCTTGTTTGAGGTGATATTGAAAAAAGAAACACTTTCTCATGGCTACTTTTTGCCCTCTATCGAATGGCATAATCAATTTTCACATGTAACGTTTCGTCTCTCCAAGACCATCATCAACTGGGACTGTTTACAGATGCTGACTGAACTGGCCACCAACAATACAGTCAGACTGTGTTGGGTGCCAGGGCACAAAGGCATTTGTGGAAATGAGAAAGCGGATGTGCTTGCGAGGAAGGGATCCGAGACAGTGTTCATTGGCCCGGAGCCCTTCTGTGGCACATCTCCCAGTGTGGTCAGGCGGGCTCTGGGCAAATGGACAGAGACAGAACATAGGAAATACTGGACTTCAAGGCCAGGACATAGCCATTTCAAGGAGCTTATGGAGTATCCTTCGAATGGAAGAGCGAATGAGTTACTGAGCTTGAATAGAATCCGGCTCAGGAGAGTGACAGGACTCATAATGGGACACTGTCACTTTAGGAAACATCTACATAGACTAAAGCTTGTAGACAGTCCGGTCTGCCGAGGATGTGAATCGGCGGATGAGACTTCTCTGCATATCCTGGGCGAGTGCCCGGGATTTGCACGTAGCAGAATGGCGCTCCTTGGGAGACCCTATTTGGAACCCAAGGAGCTGAGAGAAGTGTCAGCAAGGAAGCTTTTGGACTTTGTAAAAAGGACAAATCTACTTGCTGAATAGGAGTAGTAGTGGGACGCACAATAGGCCTAATTAGGCCGCAGTGCTATGGGACTTTTAAAGGACCAACCACTAGATGAAGATGAGGATGAGGATCATCAACTACATTTTTTTAAATACGACCCTAGAAATTTTATTACATTTTTTGCATGCCTTAATGACCCCCGATACTGTACTGCCTCAGCCCGAACCAGATTCAGACGTTTTGTCTCAAAAAATTTATCTTCAGTGTATTCGTTCCAAATTTATCTAAATTTTTTATTTAGATTTCTTTGTTTATTGAATTATCGTACACTATAAGTGTCGTTACACCCTGTGAAGTCTATCTAGTTATTTAAACTATTACCACCACGCGTTACAATAAAAAATTATTAGAGTTTTATTCCCGTGTCCATAGTTATTCCTAGGCTTCTCGAGTGCTCAAAATTCAAACAAATTCCGATCTTTTTCAGGATATTCATACAAATACATCCGACATGCTCTTTCACAGTTGCGGTTACAGATATAATAAAATCCGATAATATTACGCTGATCTTCATTTTCAACCATTGCCAAAAGGAAAATGTTTTTGAACATTTACTGAAATTTTTTAAAGAATAATATTCAGTTGGCGTTTTGGTTGTCATATGCATTTTTAAGAATTAATTTGTCATAATAAAATTAAAATTGTAATAATGTTTTAATTTTGACGCAACAACTTATTGAGTTATATTTGACCAACTGATGGTAATAGTTAATAATAATAAATGTTTTATTGTAACGCGTGGTGGTAATGGTTTAAATAACTAGATGGATTTCACAGGGTCTAATGACACTTACAATGTACGATAATTAAATAAACAATATAAATAAAAAATTTAGATAAATTTGGAACGAATACACTGAAGATTAATTTTTCAAGACAAAACGTCTGAACTAGGTTCGGGCTGAAGCAGCACAGTATTGGGATCACGAAAGCTTGCAAGAAATGTAATAAAATTTCTAGGGTCGTATTTAAAAAAATGAAGTTGATGATGGTCCTGGAGAGACGAAACGTTACATATAAAAATTGATTATGCCATTCGATAGAGGGCAAAAAGTGGCTATGAGAAAGTGTTGTTCTTTTTTCAATATCACCTCAAACAAGGCTGAAATAAAACAAAAACGGATTTCCAAAATTTCGATTTTTTTCAAATATTTCGAAAACTAATCATGTTAGCCTTGATTTTTTAGAGGCATAATGTTGGTCCCCTCATTATGCAACTTTGCCCCCAATCCCCCATTTAAACTACTTCGTACCTCTTACCTTTTCCGAGATCCCTGTAGTGAGAGGCGATTTTGTAACAGCCTCAAGTAGCCTAACTATAACTCTATTGTGTGCTAAAATTTCAGTTGGTTTCGTTATCCCATTTTTTAGTTATTAATGGAAATGTTGAAAAAATCACGGTTTTCTGTCACAAAATTGATACCTCTCAGTTTAACTCGTCGTAATTTTTTTGTTAATTCATAAAAAAAAATCCAAATTCTCAAATGCTCTTTTTTTTATTTTCAATCAAAACAGAAGAGAGTGCTATCTCCGTAAATATTGCGTTCTTTAATAAAAGAAAAAAACTAACAAAGGAAATAACTGTAAACAACAATCTGAAAAAAATTGTTAAAATAATACAGTTATAAATATGATACTCAATAATTATTTTGCATTTTTCTTGTCGAGCAAAAACTTGATACTTGTAGAATACTGAATTACAATTCCAATATTTGCCTTTCAAGGTACATTTGATGATTTTTAACGTAAATATTCTTGAGAATGTAAGAAATCCGCAAATATCTGAGAAAATCGAAACTGTAACCTCCACATTAACTATATCGGTAAAAAGAGAATTTAAATTCCTATAATAATATGATGCAAAAAATGCAGTGTTCCATTTGAATTTAAATAATTTTGTCTTGCTTTAAGTGTAACGTTAAAAATGGTTCACTAGCTATAATTTTCTCCAGGTGATTTTGTTAGTGGAAGGAACATCTTATGTTCTTTGTATGTTCCGAAAAGCCATAGAAGCCGAGATATTGCAAAATTTTACAGCGCGCATCAATTTGTACTTCGTAAATCGTAGTCTACGTCGTAAACATTATTTTGCGAAAAATTCAAGTCTTAATGTTTATAAACAATTCCGTTACGATTTGAAAAAAAAATCTTATCTTGGTTCCTGTTGGTCGTAGAGAGTGCTTGCTTTTTTTTAAATTTGTATATTTTTGCCAGCTATCCATTGAATCTATTTTCGGCGAGGTAGCATAAATAGCAACAATTTTATTCAAATTGTTTATAAGCGAAAAACGCACGGTTTGTTAATGCACAATTTGAGAATGTTAATGTCAAAATCACGGTGATATTTTTTTATAGGTCGCTTAATTACGTCTTTAAGATTACAATGACGCTTTCAGAATCATGTTTGGTTGAAAATTAACGCCTGTACAGAGGCTTAAAGTTCATAACTTTTGGAACCTCCGTTATATACAAATTGAATTGTGCGAAAACTATTGCACCTACAGCGCCCACTTTTGGCGCACTTTTAAAGTATGACAAAACCCTCAACTCGTCATAGGTTTTATAAAATTTTAACAATAAATGCGATAGTTATAAACAAATTAAAAATGGCCACTTTTCGTGTTTTTTTTTGCAATAACTTTTTTGTTTATTAACCGATTTTAATTTAACACGCCTCATTTTGTAGATCATTTTATTCCCTACAAGTTGTCTGCGAGTCACTTTTCGCTAAAATTGATGGTTTTCCCTGCAAAATGAAAAAACCGTTTTCCTCACTTATTTGTTTAAATAAAAAAGTTATCTATTAAAATTTTTTGACTCACGAGATGAGAGATGTCTTGTATTATGTTCCTTTAGACAATTTTACAATAATCTCGCGGATAGGAATTTTTTCGAGTAAAAATTTTATATGCCTGGTGTATATAAGGAATTTTTGAAATACTTACTTACATCTGTCAAAATTTTTATAAATTGTCGATTATCTCGAAAACGGTTACATTTACGTATACAAGAAGGTTTTACCATTTTTTGCTTATTTTTAATTTATCTTATAGATACTGCAATAGGGTGTTCTATTTAAAACAAACAAATAGATGGCGACTTCCGGTATAATCGGAAATGCTCCAACAATGACATTTTATTTAAAGAGGACACCCTCGAAAACTCTAAATTGAAATCAAAGTAGTCTCTGAAATATTTTAATGAACCACCACCGTAAAACAGTCTGTATGACATGCATATACGTATATCATTGTGATCAAACAAAAAAAAAGGATTTCAATAAGAGAAAATCTAGAGGATGTTCCATTAAAATAAAAATAAAAGTTAGGTTTATATTCGAAATGCACCAGTCACTTTTAATGTATTTCTTTGACATCCAATAAAATTTTCTACAACTTTAGTTTTTAACGAAATAAAAGATAAGGGGGGTAAAATTATATGAACTACTTTACGATCGAGATATTTGTATGTACAAAACACAGAAACCTAAAACATCCCTCAGATTCAGAAAAACAGCTGAACATCAATCTATGTAAATACGCAGGGAAATGGATTTTTTGAAAGAAAAACGGCACTAGTTTCTTTTGCAAGAAATACTATTGGAACACATTCAATTCCTTAGATCTTTTTTATGTCTTCATTTGCCTACTTCTACCGTACTAAAACGTAAACTAAACAAAAACAGTAGAAAACATGGTTTTGTCGGATTTAGCCAACCCAAAAATACAACTGAATAACAATTTAAATTACTACGATTTGTCACGACTAGTCCAATAACGAAAAAAGGTGCACTTTGTCAAAACTGCGTTCACAGAAACGAAAACAGAATAAAAATGTGAACTATACAATTCCCAGCTTTACTTCTACGACAATTTGCCTGGTCCAGGTACTAAGGCGTGGAGAGCAGATGCGGCTGCAACGAAAATATTTCACTTGGCATGCAATTTTCCGGAAGATCGTCGCTTCGCTCATGAATTTTCATTACTGCTTATTAAGTTGGATGCAAGAATGTTACAGAAATGCATAAATTATTATATTTGAGAGCTCTTGGGAGTTCTAAGTAAAATATTTATGCCACCAAACACTGTGCTTAAATTACTTTAGAATAACAAATATAAGTGTAGAGATTCAAGGTTTTTATAAGCACACAGATCTTTCATTTTGATTTCTTTTTCTAAGTTCTTTTTAAAAGCTCTCTCCCATCCCAAAGACAGGATGTGGAACACAGATTCATTACTTGAAAACAGCTATAGACTCTAACTTTGATTACCAGTAAAGTTTCAACAAACTTTAACCTTACACATGGATTATTTGAATATAAGATGCTTTTAAATACCAAGAACTGTAAACAGTAATTGGAAAAAGTACACGTCTAACAAATGTCATAGTTGAATGTACTGAAATACTGCAAATGCTTCGATAACTTTTCAAACAAGTTCAAACACTTTGAATTTACAAAAAAAAAAATCAAGAACGCTTTGCTAAAAGACACTCAGTCAAAGTGATTGAAACACAAAGCAAAGAATATCGTTATTCAAGCAACAAAATGACGTTGAACATCTTTTGAAGCACTCTGCTCTGAAAACAGATAATTTAAACATGTCTTTACCTCGGTTTGGAACGTGCAGAGCAAGTGACACAAATAGGGATGTTTAGTACCCAGCGCTAGGACCTTCCTCTCGATCAGGGTGCATTCCACGTCGTCGTCTTCCAGGACGACGTCCTTCTTCAGGCATTTTATCGCGTAGTAGTATTCGGTGCCTTTTAATTCCGCGAGCAAAACCTGGAACAAAAGTAAAAATATACGAGAGTATTCTTAGGAAATTCGAAAAGTAACTCATTTAATCAGTTAGCTAATTAGAGTCATAAGTGATGACTCTCATAATTATGTCTAGTGACGAATGATAATCAAAATCCGTAGATCTCAGATCAGGACTTCTAAGAGGTCATAAAATAAAATTATTTTTCCCCTGCACTATTAAATTGTTAGCGGGCTCTAAATCAAGTTGAATACAACACCCTGATATTCTCTAGAGCATATTCAATTTTTAAAAGAATTAAACAGAGTCGATTCTACTTTTTAGAAGTTTCAAGTAGGAGTTTGGTTTAAAATAAGTACATTATTCGGAATTTAATGGTAAATATTCAATTTTATTGACACCAACAACCTTGTCGTTATTTTTTTTAAGAACAATTCTTTCTATAACTTATTTCGAAATGTCATAGAAAACTGGCTCTTATTTTTTAAAATTACGCCAGATATGTTGACCAATGTTAAACAGTCTTTTAAAAACCGAATTCGTTTGTGTATTAATCAAAATGGACACTTCGAGCAATTGATGTAAATCAGCGAAGTTATTCTTCTCCTTGTTGTGTTCCGAGTTTCAGTTTGTTTCGTTTTGCATTTTGTTTTAATTGTTGTTAGTGGTTTACTTTTGTTTGTCACTTTTTAAACATGCCAGTAAATATTGACACTGTCAGTCCCAGGCCTGATAAAATGTGGAGAAAAGAGGTTTTGCAACGCCTTCTTGACACTACTACTTTTTCGGACTTTAGAAAATAAGCAGACTTTTCTAGAAAACTATTAGAGATAAGTATGGACAACCTCATATCAGTCGAAAGGGCATTCAATTTTGCATTCACCCATTACAATTAATATGGGTCATTCCACTTGAAAAAAAAAGTTTTTCAACTCGTAAGATTATTAAAGGTAGATCTCAGTATTTCCGAGTCTGAATAACGTACACGTTTTGCTCACAGATGACAAGATAGAGTAATTTATGCCAAAACGAGCCATTTTTTATAAATTTTATAGTTACAGAGTTACAGAAGAATCCCTTTTGGCTGGAAATCCGGAATCATTAAATTTTTTACATAAAAATTATTTTAAAAATTTTGTAGAAATTCGTTCCTAGAATTTTTTATAAACGATGTATGTCCGCGACTTTTTCCATATTTATGAATGAATTGAATTTAATTAGGGATCTCTAAAAGATTTTCAAAAACTGAATGTACTATGTATGTATTATACAATCTTCAATAACTTCAAAAATACAAAGAATACCAGAGCCAACAGAAGATATTGCGATTTTAATTTTATCATAAACCGAGCTCTAGAAAATTACAAAATAAGCGGTGGGATAAGGTACAACGGACAATAATTGTAGTGCCACTAAACGACGACCTTAACTTTCGGAACGCCGAACATGGAATTTGTCTTATTACAGACATTTCCAAGTTCCAAAAAAGAGCTTCGAGTGGAGATATAATCCTGTGGTACACGAGAGGTATTGACTTTTCCTCATTAAATTTAACAAGTGGACCACAGTCAGCAATTTTATTTTTTCGGGGAAAGTTTGTCCTGGTTTTCCACAATTTAAACGAGACTTATTTTCTTTGTGCTCTTTCAGTCATGTTTAACACACAACCCTGAATATAATCGACTACCACGGCTTCAATTATACTCCAAAAGTAAACTAGAATCAACTGAAGACATTATTAAAACAATTAGTCTAAATGGGTTACCTTGTAGTCCAAGAAAAATATGTTGAGGCTTGTATTTTTAACCAAGCCGCTTATTTATTACCGAGTGTTTGAGTGAAAATATTGATACTACTTACTTTGTAATTTCGACATAACAAATGGGTTTGTTGGATCAAACTGACTGATATTTATTTAATTAACCTTTCCTTCAGTCCTTTGGACAAATTTAAAGCTATGTCCTGTGAACATATTACCGAAACAGATGTATGGATTGACGTTATTATTTTTAATAAGGAAAGAACTGTCGCCACCGTAGGGAACATGTGCGAACATTAATCTTTGGAGAGTTGGCAATGAACTTAGTATTATTTTAGTTCAAATATTTAAATGCACTATACGGGGCCAGTTTTCGCAGAAGGGACTATTTGGTTTCAAGGAAAACTGTTTATTATTAATATTTGTTTATATTGAGATCCAGCCTTGTTTGTTTTGAAACAAAACCTGTCGTGATTTTAAATGCGTAAAATCCTGTAAAGCCAGTAAATTGTCATTCTGTGTTTTCACATAAACTTAATTTTTCATTACGAGTAAAAAGAATTATATTACTAAAAGAGAATCGTTTCCCAAAATTTGGTAGAAAATTACAAAAATTATAAAATTTCGGAAGAGTGATGAAATTCTAGGAAACAATATAGAGAAGAATTTGAACCAGTCATATTTTCTATTCTGAATATTTTCGTACCATTACATTCGCTCCTTTGCCTGAAATTCTTGTCAGTATGGGAGTCAAGTGGGTTTATTTTGAATGATTTTATCAATTTGGTCAAAATTGGCCAAGTCGAAAATGTAAAAATGGCCCAAAAAAACTTTGGAAAATTCCAACGTATTCTTTGACCAATTCTAAGACCGGTTTAGCCGCTATTTTGGTTCATCACATCAGGCATCCTTTAAAGAGAGATTTTATGCAGCGTTCCCATTAGTCAAAATTACAACAGAAATTGGCATTAAGGATATCGTAAATTTCCCGTAGTGACGTCAATTTATAAAATGAAATTTGCTATGACACAAACTACGTATTGCAGGAATAAGATCTATACTTCCTATTATTTAAAAAAACATTTTCCTGGCCTTGATTGTTTCTCTTGGACAAAAGTCAAAAGGAACTATCGCCTTAGGTTTTGGTGTCAAGTAATCGGAAAAGACCGAGCTGATACTGATTTACAATAGAAATAAACTTGAATAAACAAGAAGCACATAAAACTGTTTTTAGAGCCGATATATTTTCTATTTGAGCACTACACTCATCAAAGTTATGGTATGCAGTCAATGAACCCTGAAAATTAGGTTTACAGGCATTTTAAAATAAATGAGTACCTAATTAAATGTTTTTATGAAAATACAGAGGCTTACAACACAACATTAAGTAATAACAAAATTACTGGTTATTGGAAACTGGAAATTTTTACACAAATTGTGACTACGATATTGTGATTGGATTTTGCAATTGTTTTGCTCATAGAAGCATCTATTTTCGTTCATGCTTTTTGTTATTGTATTATTATTATTAGTCCAGTTACTTAGGGTTTTTACCTCCGAATTCTTTATAACTGAACCGATTGACGTGAAATTTTGACTGAATGTGGGGAATGCCTCAAGGAACATGGGGGTGGAAATTTTTACGCCCAAAATAACCACACGAATCGATAGAGGAGTTAATTTTAAGTAACACATGTTATATAAAATTTTTTAGATAATCCAATACCTTTAAAATGCGCTGTTTTAAAAGTCTTTAGAATGAAAATTAACGGAAATATGATCAAAATAACATGATTTTTTTTAAGGAAAAATTAATAAACAAATCAGGCCCTTTAACGACAGAATTAAAATTAAATGCAATCCATTTACAGATTTCTTCATTTATGTTCTAAGAATATGTTCTGGGTCTTTGGCTCACTTACAAAGCATGATTTTGAAAAAAAAACTTAATTTTTAAAAATGTTAATTTTTGAAATTTTTTTAAAAAAATCAATTTTTACGCTGTAACTTAAAAATTAAAGGGTGTACAAAAAAATACAAGAGTAAAAAAATTTTGCTTTATTTTTGCTGAAGATTTTGCTTTTTTATTATTCCTCTAAAATTAATATTAATCGAGATATCGCCATTTTAAGTTAACATATGAATGAGAGAACCACCCTTTTCGAGCCCTTTAAACCCTTCAAACTTAAAAATGAAGGGCTTAATAAAGATCAACTCAACAATTCCCTGCAAAATGAGCCTCTGTGCGATACAAAATCTTAAAAAGTAAGAAAGTTATCGTCAAAAAAATAAACACGTGTATAGGTGATAATTTTAGGAAAATATATAAATGAATGTAAGGGGTAATTTTTAAGGGTTGAAAAGTTGCAATCAATTCAAAATTATTTTATAAGAAGGGGATAAATGTTTATTTAATACGAATGCACATTTAAAATGTTTCTACTTTTTCAATATTTTTTCATTTTATTTTCGAAAGAACGGGTATTTTTCAAGGGTTGCAATCGATAAAAAAGATTTTTTAATCAAGAAATCAATTTTAATTTGATAAAAATGCATGATTAAAAAGTTGAAAAAAAAATTATATTATTTTCATCCAAAGGGGTGGTTTTTAAAGGAATTTCCGGGTTGAAAATTTGGGATACATTAAGTTTCATGTCAGATAGCACATGAAATTACTCATAATGCATAAATAAAAAGATTTGATTACATAAAATGCTTAAATTTGTAGTTTTTTTTTTTCAATAAGAGGTGGTTTTCACCGCTTAAGAACAAAAAGCGCACCTAGCGCATATGTAAGTTTTGAAGTGGGGGGTAAGATGAGCCTAATTATAAATTTTGAGAAAAATCGATACAGTTATAAAAAATTCGGAGGTATTTCTATATTTTCAGCTACAGTAACCGGGCTATATATTTATTAAGAAAATTTGTTAAAAGACAACATAATTGCTTGAACTGCTGTTTTTTTTTAATGAACTGGCATTAAATCGTGTATGTAAATAATATGTTTCAAAGAAAATAAGTCTTCTAAGAACAAAGGAAATGAATTTAAGCTTCAATCTATGTGCATTGAAGTTGCAACAGAAACAGATATCAATTTAAATGTTGACGTACCGTTACCGCTCACTAAAAATATTAATACACTTAAAAAAATAAATTTACCAACACTACCACGCAAAAACTTAATACCTACCTACATGTAGGCTGGCAGCGAGTGTATTTTTTTATTTCACACAAATCAATGAGTCACTTGACTAACTTTGCGTA